GTCGGGATAATTTGCCATTTTCCCAGAATCTCTGTTTCAGGAAAGATACGAGTTGAAGAAGGGCGGGCAAGGCCGTGGTCTAGGCAGCCCGGAGTTTTCCTCCGTGGCATCCCAACAATTACTTCATTCACACACAGAAGAAGGCAATGGCAAATCACTTCTGGATCATCTGCCAAGAACGTATATGAACAGGTCCCAGTCCGAGAAAAGGATGGAAGGATCCTGTTCATATGGACCTGTCGTCAGACAGAACACTAAATAAATAAATAAATAACTAAGATGGATGTATTCTGAGTTGTTGCGCCTTGTAGTCTGGTAGAAGTCTACCGACGTTTCAGAGGTTATTACTGCCTCCATCATCAGGGCGATGATTGAGACAGCAAGTACCTCTGAAACGTCGGTAAACTTCTACGAGACTACACAGTGCTGTTTGTAACCTTAATTTAATTAGAAAACAATTATGTAATTTATTTTCAAGTTGATACGTGTCTGTATTGGTTTTGGAAAATGGAAACATACGATATAGTGGGATATGATTATACTGATGATGGAGACGGTAAGTTCCTCTGAAATGTTTTTTTTTTGTAAATTTTTAGACGCAGTAACCCATAAGACAGCCATATTCATAATTCCCTCCTCGAGAACATGGAATCGCACGATATATGTTCAGTATGTTGCTTTGAAAACGCCTGACTGTGGGTTATGTTTTCGTAACGCGGGGAATATTTTTATATAATTTCCCTTCCAGATGAAAGTAAAGTTTGCAGTGCTACACGAAGGGGATAAAACTGTGTGATCCCATCTTAGATTGTAACTTTTGCTTTCCTTCTGCGCCTGTAATCAAATTCCTCGACTCTGCACAGTGCCTTCAGCTGTTTGGCTTCCATACTTGCAGTGTGTGTTTTGTTTTCTTGGACAGAATAAATATGGCGTCAGCCGCAAATGTTAACATGCGTCCTCTGTATCTCCACTGTAACGTTATCCATCCAGACAGATATTTCATGGGTTTCCATGATACTTTCAATTAAATGTTGACACCAGATGTTATTCTATATGTATCTTCTATATAATAGCCAGTGTCCGTCACGCTCGGCTAGACGAATGCGCTGTTTGTGCGATGCGGAAAAAATTGGAACTAACTTCTGACGGTGGCGACTGTAAATGTTTTAACATTTAATTTGTAGCTTAAACGCGTCATGTTTGTGTTGATCAAATATATATTTATTTTCACAGTCTATACACAAACGTTATAATTAAATGATGTTGTTAAAATTATATAATATTAAAACATTATAATAATGTAAATAATGTAAAATCGTATTCACGATAAAAAGCGCCAAAATATAATATTTTATACTACATAATGTTTTAATATTATATAATTTTAACATCATTTAATTATAACGTTTGTGTATAGACTGTGAAAATAAATATATATTTTAACATTTAATTTAATTGTTTTAAATCATATAATATTGTACTCAATTTTTATTTTTAAGGATAATTCTGAAATGAATTGTGTTAATTTTCAACAGAGAAATTTAATTTATATCAAATTTGACGGGATACGCTATGCTAATATATGAATAAAGTTGCAGGTAACTGAGAGACTTGCTTAGTTTAGAGTGTATAAATGTGATGTGCAATTTCAAGGGAAATTATTTCACTAGTATTTCAGCTATTTGAGTGTTTACTACACGAAGATGGTTCAACGCGTAACTTGACTGTGTAACTACTCAGACAAGAGCTTTGTGTCTGTTCGACTCAGTTACATCTGTTAGCTATAAAGGGAGCGTGTAATGAATATGGTAAACTATACACTTTATCAGCGCAAACTGACTGTAGAGAAATAACTCGAGGTATTGTACAGTTTTTGTCTCTTGTTTGCGTTTATATTGGTGATGTAGATAATCTCAGTCCCCGATATACTACGTCGTACTAAAATAACTTACCCCTACATAAAACTGATAAAATTTGCTCATCTATTCTAACTGCTACGTATACTGAAATAGGATTGTTTATTTTAATATATTTTTGTTTTGTTTTAACGTTTTATATCTGATATATTGATATGGTCTGTGTTGATGTAATTTCTTAATGTTTGTCTAAATGAGTATTGTGGTTTTCTGGGTCCTAGCGCCGTGTAGTCTGGTAGAAGTTTACCGACGTTTCAGAAGTCCTTGATGCCTCCATCTTCAGGATATCATCGTCCTGATCTTGAAAGCAACAAGTATTTCTGTAATTTCGGTAAACTTTTACCAGACTACTCGACGTAACCTTCGCCGTGGGAAATTTAAATTTCAGAACGTGTCAAACATGGATTTTTGAGGACAAAGACCGGGCTGAATATCTCCAATAGTAATACTGCGGAATATCTGGTACTGGTGCCGTATAGGTTGGGTTAGGTACCAGAAAGAGAGAGTGAATTTCCAATCGAAAGTTTATTTCCTACTCGAGACCATTATTTCCTGTTATTCTTCGCTAGGACAGACACTCGGTAAATTTCGTTCTATTTTTAACTTCGGAAGTTAAAACAGAATATGATTAACGTTAACAGTTTAAATCTCATTGGAAACTCTATAGGGTGACATGAAAATAACGCTGTATTTATTTCTTCAGAAATGTCGATAACATTAATAGAGTATTTTATGTTGTGTAGTTACTTTTGGAACGCACGAAGATTAATCAAATTTACGTAACATGTTTGCGTAATTAAGCACTACGCCATAAAGACTTATGAGGAAAGGACGTATATCTCCGCGTATTTATAACCTCAACACTAAGTAGATGTAGGTTGTAAATTTCTTTATCCACGGGTAAGGAACCCCTTGTATCCGCTGGATACGAGGATGATTTGTGCGTTGTGGCAAAGAGTAAAGTCCCTGCCCTTGTATGGAATCGAACCAGGTATAATATAAATCCGTGGAGTAGTTTTGGATATGAATCACGTAAAATTGCTTCGCTCATGACTTTTATGTACGCGGCATGAAAATTAGAGTACCCGTTAATTTGTTCTTGTGTCCTGCAGTTGTGGCTGACTGTAGCCGAGAAACATCTCCAGTCGCGGGGTGTAGACTGGACTCACGCGGAGAAATTTTGTTTCAACGAGTGGACCAATCCAGACGACGAAGAACTGGGAGTTCAGATTGTCAAGGTGAGTTAATTTTGTCCGCTTTAAATTTTAAAAAGATATTTGTTCTGCTTCTTATCTGCGCCTTTAGCTCTGGTGTATCGGCAACCCGCCACACAACAGTGTCGGAGAAGTTGCCGCAACTTTAAGGCGCAACCGTCTCGTATTTTATCGTATATTTTTTTATAATTTCTTCATGAGTGCGATTTTGATGTTGACAAATATGTTTGTTAACACTGCAACTTTTTCCAAGGATGTATCAGCCGTCTTTGTATTGTGATTATAAACTTTATCCTGTCGACAAGACATTTAGTTAATTGAAGAAGTCTTTACCGGGTTTTAGCGAGTTTTAGTCCGATAGAAATTTACTGACATTTCAGAAATTATTGCTGACTTACCGCCCTGATGATAGAAGACAGAAGTACCTGCGAAACACCTGTAATATTCTACCAGACTATGACGCAACATTTAAAAATATCACACGCACTTAGCTACGCTATATTAATATTTAATTTTACAATGCTTATTATTAGAGTCAGTTATGTTACTATTTAATATTGATATTTTAGCGGATGTCAGTTACATTCGTTTTATAATTATTCTGAAAAAATGTGCTGAAGATCACGTTCATTTACACATGACATTTATAATCGATAACGGTTTTAGAACAGTGGTTTAATCTAACGAGTCCATTACTAGGATATTTAGGAGCTATACTGCTCTCCACCTAAGTACATACATGGCGCGTAGCGAGACAGCTTTGGTTTACTTTGCTTACTAATTTTTTTTCAATAATAATAGTTATTATTATGTTTTTGTCATATACATTACACGATTATTAACAGAAAAGCGACCAGTTGACTTTTAAAGATTTCTGTGCTGTCTACGTCTAGTGTTTTGTGAAGGCGTGTGGCAGTACTGTACTTTCTATTTAATTATCTGCAGTTCTTTGTTAGACTGCAGACATCTCTCGCTTATCCGTACTCGCTCATTCCCGCGACCATTCATCTGAATCCTTTAGCCTCTAGCTAGTTACATCTGCCCACTCGCGACCAGCTAGGCACGCAACGTCTCTGACGTCAGAGGCATGAGTTAAAAAAAAATGTCACGTTAAACTGGACGTTAATTTTTTTTTTCGTTTACCAGCCAAAAGACTCATTCATGCAAGATTTTTCCTGAAAATAAAAGGTAAATTATACATAAAATATCTAAAGTCGTTCTTCTAAAAATAAAAGTTGATTTTTTTTTAAATATCTGAACCCCGAGGGTAGATTTGTTCTGAATTAGTAATGAAAAATCTTGCGAAATTTACAAATACGTAATGATTTCTTGTTGTTTTTTTCAGTTGGTACGTATAGTTACCACTTGGTTTTAAGGAGTTAACGAAAGGAAGTTACAGTTTCTCAGTCACAGATGAAATCGTTGTGAATGCTTAGTTCCATGTGAGTGAATAATTATCTCACCAGAGATTCTATAAGCAGTTCTCTTTTTTATTTTAGCTGTTATTCCAGGTCGAGATTTTTCCTAGAAACTCTTGTTCATGTCTGCTCATATCCCTACTGAAAGCTAAGCAATTTCTTCACGTTTAATGACATCCCCATTTACGGTGTCAGCGTAAAAGGGTATTTTAAGTACTTAAAAGCATAAAACTTGTATAATGTAAAAACCTTTTCAGCGTTTCTACTCTGAGGGAGTAATTAACACAGTGGTCAGGCTAACCGCGTAGATCAAAAGTGTAAAAATTTTCGAAACGCGCTTTTGAGACTGCATAGTCTTTAGCCTTGAAGATTTTATGTATCAGATACAAGCGTGTTGTTGGAAAACTAATACCGCTACATATAAAGTGTATATTAATCAATAATTTATTCTGGAAGTAAAAGATTTGTGTGAATATAAATAATAAAGATGTTGTATTTTATATCTTACGTATTATTTAATCTTGGTTTCGTATAAAAGGAAACAGGTAAGGCTGGAGTTTGGTGTGACGCGTTTATGGGCTTCTCATTATTAATGCCCGAAACATAAATGGAACGAATACCGCTTTTTTAGAATGTTATTTTATCCATGAGTTGGTCTTGTTGTAATCTCCGCTAACTTTGTTCCTCCGGAAGTTGTCGTCAGGCGTTTGGACAAAGTGCCTGCCAACTGTGGAGCGAGCTGTTAGTTGTGCCTTGTAATTGTCCGCGTGTGTGTTAGAGATGCATCGTTTTGTAGGTAACTAACGTTCATGAGCGGGTTAAATCAATGAAGTCTCGTCTCTCGGGAGGGCGGCGCGAAAGAAATGAATGTGTTGTAATGTTGCTTTTTAGCTGATTGTTCTGTATCACCAGTTGTAAAGTAAGCTCTGATGCTTTTAGTTTTTAACAGGTTAATGTGACACTGTCTTTTGTGAGTACTTTTGTTAAATATTAACATTTATTTTTCATCCAGCAGATGTTTAATTTATAAAATTTACTTGGAAAAATATTATTTATTTCGTGGTTGTCTCCCGTGGTCAGCTGTTAGATGATCAACTGTTTAATAAATTTCATATTGTTATAAAACCTTTCCGAGCTGTTATAATCCAGAAGATGGCGGTGTTGGACATTGGTAGAAGTTCGCCGACGTTTCAGAGGTGTTTGTTCATACCTGAATGTTTAGTTATAACCTCGTAATTGTTAATGCCGTATCGTTATAGCTATTTGAATTACTGCTTTGTCGTATTTTTCACATAACTTCCACGTTGTTGAAGACTATAAAATCTAAAAATAGATTTGGTGTCGCTTATATTTTATGCATCTACGAAAATTCGCAGAAGATTGGATTTTGAAAATGTCTTTCTGTGTTATATATAATATCACCTTAGTTTCTAAACGAGATGGACGGAATATGTAACACGAATGGTATAAGAAATACGTATAAAATATTGGTATGGAAGTCTGAAGATAAAAGAGACCACTTAGAACAGTGGTATTCAACCTTTTTTGTTCGCGTACCCCCAGATATAATTTCTCTTCAACTTTGTACCCCCAAAGTTGTTGGTGTATAATTCAAGTTATACATAGTATATAATCTACATCTGAAATAAATTAAATAAATTACATTACTGATTATTCAGTGTTTATCATAAAATAATATATATATTTTTTAAATTTCACGTGCCCCCTAAGATGTCTTCGCGTACCCCCGGGGGTACGCGTACCCCAGGTTGAAACCACTGACTTAGAAGACCTAAGCGTAGATGGGGAATAATATTAAAATTGTATTTCCGGAAACACGAATTGGTAATGTGGATTGGATTCATCTGGCTTTTTGAACAAGGTAATAAACCTTTTTGTTCTGTAAAGGACAGAGATTTCTTGATTGTGTGAGCCATCTGTTGTTAGATTCTCAAGATGGGCTCTGCTTCGTGGAACTAATTAGTTCCAAAGCACTTTCGAGTTCTGTCTGGTACAAGTAGAGACGTTTTACTTAATGATAATTTGTTACGCTACACAGTTTGTGTATAATGGCACCTGCCCCTCTGATGTGGGGCACTTTCTTCGCTGTGAAAATAAATCTAATCTAGTCGCGCGCTAAAATTACACGTGTCTGTTGTAGCACGTAACAGCTAAGCAACCAAATTTACGATCCTTACAACGTCTTATACATTCAGAACTCGTAATAGGTGGGATATATTTTTTTTCTTTGTGGTATTGCGCCGTGACCTGAATCTAAAAATGTTGTATTTTTTTTGTAATTCGTAATTTTTTGTGCCTGTTTTGTGTGGGTGTGAAACGTGGGCTCTTTGAGGAGAAAACATAAATTAGAAGTGTATGAAAACTCAATAAAATACTGCAGTCAAAAAAGGTGTAAGTGTTCAATTACGTATTAAATAAAAAGTATCTCGATCTATTATATACGTCACCTAGTAAATTGTAGGAGATTTGAATGAACTGGATATATGGATAATATGAAGGAGAAAATATTTGTAGAAGTTTTGTTTGGAAATTTCTCGGAAAAAACACTTCTGGGAATAATGTTTTTTATCTTCTGAGATTTTGCGCCATGTAATCTCGTACAGGTTTAAGGAAGTTTCGGATGTACTTCCTACTGCCATCATCAGGATGATCGTAACAAATTTATACTCGATGCCTTGAGAACCTGAAATCATTAAATTATATAACTCTTGAGACGACTGAGAAATATAGGGGAAGATAATATTAAGATAAATAAGTTATGGGGTTGAGGGGTTGTATGGAAGTGTCCCAGGTTCGTATCAAGTCTTGAGAATTGGCGGTGTTGAACTTTCGTAATCTGTTGTCAGAGATAATTTTATTTTTAATATTTAAACTTTCCTCAAGTGAAAGACAGCAAAATAACTCGTGTCATAACAACGCCAGTAGTTATGACATCGTGTAACATTGGCTGGCATCCATCTCGGATTATGTGATAGGCGTTTCCTCTAAAATCGAGTGCATACTGCGTCATATCAGTTAATCCGTGCACGTATATGTCGTCTTTCGTAAGATTCTGTGACGGGGTGAAATTTTATATTTTTAGGCTACATCACTTTATACACTGGTTTAATACGGAATGTTCCAAAACTTCTGTAACTCGAATTTGAATCCCGTGTTTTGAAAACAGATTAACAATCAGTCTTTAACTATGTTAGCCACTTTGGAATAAAATTCTCAAAACTGCCCAAAAAGGAAACCTTCTCTTTTTAACACGGTCTTATCTTTTGGTTTCATAAAACCGGCGTAGTTTGTGACAGCCCGAATAAAATCATATTTTTTCAGTTGAGGTTATGTATCGTAAGATGAGTAATCTGACAGGAATTCGATATGGGTACATTCTGAGTACTGTATTTGGCAAGCTTGGCTTTCTGATATGTTAACATTTACGTGATTTCTGTGCCCGAAAACACTACAGCTCGATTATACCGATACACGCACGTGCAATCTCCCCTAAATAATTTATACAGGCACTATGCATGCACTCGTCACATAGGCGTCTGTCGTACTACAACCAAGAGTGCTTGTATTCGTTTTAAACAAGAGCCGATAGGATACGGATGTGGATGAAAGATTACCAACTTTTGAAATCAAAAATGTGAATATGTCTATGTTTATGTAAGTTCTGTTGGTGATCATTTCCTGTTGGTGGATTTTGAGCCTTGGGATAATATTTACGAATGTGTATGTTATTTTTAACAGTTGTAATGATAATGTTAAGGGATTTTGAACCTTATGGGATAATATTTATGTATACATGTGTTTATCTCATGTGTCTCAGCAAGAGAATGCTGCTATAGACGAATGTTTTTGGAAAGAATATAGCAGAGGAATTCATGAAGAGTTTGTATAAAATCCCCAAACTTCATTACCGTGTTTACAAGAGTCCGCCATTAGACCCTGACCTGATTCAATTGAATCTAGTGTTCATGCAGTCACTGTATTTATTTAAATTCAATTTAAGGATTATCTGTAGGTAACTTTTGTTCGTAGCTTTTAATGAAGAATGGCTTACCTTAATGCACTGACCTAGGAAGCTTCTAAAGGTAGAAGTTTATCAACTTTTCAGAGGTCCTTGCTGCCTCCACCATCAGGGCTTGGTAAACTTCTCCCAGAATACACGGCGCTACAACCCAGAAGAATCCATCTTCGGACTCACCGCCTTGAAAACCTAGGAAACATCTGGTGTCGCTCAGATGAACTAAGCTCGTATCACGTGATTTCAGTTGAGGTAACAAAGGATTTTGGTGTCTCACAGGACCTGCACCGAACTGGCTGTTCTTTGTTTTGTGGGGCTGCCGCTGAAGAAAACCAGGCGCTGCTCAAACGAGTTCTTCTGGCTTACGCGCGTTGGAACAAGGCTGTGGGATACTGCCAGGGTTTCAATATGCTGGCCGCTCTCATCCTGCAAGTAATGGACCGCTCCGAGACTGACTCGGTCAAGGTAAGTGAGCCAGCGAAGTCTTGTACTACCTTGCCCATGATTCTTATACCCGTCGCAAGATGTCTCCGAGCTTTATTGACAATTGACTGATGTGGGCCAGCCAGCCGAGGTACGGGAAGGAGGAGAAGTTCTTCACCCCTGCTTCTGTGACGTAGTTCAGGCTCGCAGATGGTTTGCGCGCAGTATACTAATCCAGTAGTTTGTCTTTCGGGATATGATAATGTAAGTTATTACTTGTGTGTTTCTAGATACGTCTGCTGTGTTTTACCCTCATAAACTAAGATGTTATTGTGTTCGAAATTTTTTTTTTTTTACATTTTTAGTTATTTAAATCTGCGCGTTATGATAGTCATATTTTTAATGTTTAATTCCAGAGATAATATTTCTGGGAAGTTAAATAGTACTCTCAGCGAGTCAATAAATTACCCTCCTTTTACGGGACATGAAATTTATAACCGTGTTTATAAGAGACCGCCACCCCAATCCCTGTGTCCTTACGATCCATTTTAATATTATCCTGTCATCAACTCACAGGTATTCCGATTGGTATTCTCCCTTCAGGCTTTCGAACTTATGTTATGCTCATGCGTGCTACATGTCCCTCTCAGCCTCCTTGATTTGATCACCTTAATTTTTGTCGAAGTTTTTTACTAATTTTGTTGTTTTTACTGTAAATAGCACCTGATGGTTCAGGGCTTAATGTCTTTTATTAGGAATAAAATATTTAAACGCCTGTTTAAAATGAATAAAATACGTAAAATGACTATAAGGGAAAACTTTGATATTTGAGGTTCTCGTGGAGATAAAGATGTCGGTGGTGGTCTTTGATGTAATGTCATGTGTTATTGTAGGTGGTTAGCAGTGTTTCGTAAGAAGTTTAAAAAATTTACCGAAGGTCAGAACCCAGAAGACCACCGTCTACAATTTAATCGCCCTTAAAACCTCAGAATATCCTTGTTATTTTTCTTATATAAGGATATCTACTAAGGATATTAAATATCTTCAAAGATGATTAACAGACGATTTTAAATTGTTCTGTAATACTTGGCGTCTGTGTAAAACGACACAAAGGTATTAATATTTTTAGCGTTCCATTATTCTTGGTTATAATTGTATTCTTAAGACCTCTTTTGTAATTTCAGCTCTTTGATTCCTCCTAATTACTCCACACTCCGTCTCTCGTTTTATATTTCATGGTCTCTTATGTTTATGTAACCGAGTTGGAAATTGTATTTTTCATATTTATATAATGCCCTTATACAATATTAGATAAAGCTCTTATTCAGCTCTGTGTACTCATTTCATTACCTTGTGTAGAGCTCTTATCCTTTTTGCAAGCTTAATTTCCTTAACCGAGACTTCAACCCTCAAGAGAGTCGATATTCAGTCTAGTTCGACTGAATATCACAGAATGTTTGTTGAATAAAATGTAATATATTATTCACAGTCTCTGTGATCAGTTACTAATTCGCTTATTTTTTTAAAATTTGTCACGAATGTTTTGATCCAACCAGAAAGTTGTTTTAACCCTTTGTATTACAGTGGTAACTATATGTACCACCTGTTTTATCAGTTCAGGAACTCTACATTTTGTCCACAGAGTGTACTAACACGAGTTTCTTACCATTATTAGAATTAACAGAGTTTAGTTATGTTTTTTGAGGTAAAAACTTAATCTTTTATATATTATTTAAATTAGCGTCACAAATTCGCAATATAACTTGCATTTGTAATAAAACAAAAATTATCTACATAGGGTTCACCTTTTATTTCGTAAGTCAATATGTAAGATTCTCAATAAAATTGGTGTTGATGTTTATTAGAATTCACCTTGAGGCGTTAATGGTCCAGTTTTATACATATTCTGTTATCGTGAATCACTTAGAACATAAATTATTAATTTCACGTGAAGTTCTAATTTATCAGGCGACATGCTGACGTAGACATCAAATTGAATAATGCAAATTTTTCAAAACGACATAAAACAGCATCAACTTTACTGTATACGACAGGATAAAAGAGTCAGGCCTAATATCGTTACCTGCTTAAAATTCCTGACGTCTCTTCTACAGAATTATATTAATGCTACGTTGAAAATGTTGAAGAATTAGCATATTATGATCACGGATAGAAGATACTAACAGGTTTTAATACGAAAATTCACGTGTATTTGATTTATTAACCCTTAAAACCGAACCTATATAATCTATATAACAGTGTAGTTCGTACCGCAAAGAAAACGCAACATTTCACCGTTACAAAGTTTAACTGGTTAATCCAGTTTAAGAAAATAGTCGCTGTTTACAACGAGAGTCATATGAAATACATATATACAAAAATGCAGTTAATGTCTATGGCCTGAACCGCGTATTTTTTTTTAAAAAAAAAAAACAAGCCAAGAACGTTAACAGGTGTACCAACGTTTTAGGCCATTTACTTCGGCAGTGTGAGAAAGGTATTAGATACAACTGATCTGCTTAAGATCGGTCTTAATTGCGTTTTTCCATTTCTTTCTTTGTTTTCGAAGTGATTTCCCCATAATTTTGTATGCATTTTTATCTATTTTCGACTTACATTTTTGGTAATTCTGGATAAATTTAAACTGACCAGCAACTTTATCTATCTTTATCCAGAAATATTCCAGGGGACTTTGTTTTCAGATGCTTATAATTGATATTCTTCCTGATATCTCATATCACACCCACGCAAAACAAATTTCTGAGCTGCGTAAACAGAAAAGACATTTAAGCTTTGGCAAAGGATTTTACGGCCTTAAATTAATTTCACACGGCAAGTTCCACTACCCGTGCACGGAAGTTGTTAGCAGTGGATGTGACGCCGTTCATTAGTGGCAGTTAGATGAATGTTGTAAATCTCAGGTCGGTAACGAATGAAGTCTGTAGTGGCAGACTGGGGCTTTGACGTCAGAGGCAATGACACAGCATCAAGTCTACTTTGCGTTAACAAGGTGCTGAAGAAAATATCTGCACCTAGGAGGGATAAAATTACAGGACGCTGGAAAATTTTCCATAATGACAAGCGTCATAGCTCGTACACTTCACCGGATATTATTGGATGATTAAATCAAGGAGGATTAGATGGACGGGGCATGTAGGACGCATGGAATAAATGCATATAAAATAAAGCAAATATGAAGATGAGTTACCCGTTAGCTACCTCCATATCACAGCTCAGAAGCCAGTAACGTTACAACCTAGCATTATCTCCATCCCCTCTTGAAGCTGCCGTGATATATGAGAGCTGTTTGCCAACATTCAGTGAAATATTTCTCTCCTTCCTGAGATTCTCGGTATATCTGAAGTATGTGTAGCTGTTTTCCCCCATTTCCTGATGATTTCACACCACAAAAATGCCTCCAATGTATAAAAGCCATTTTTTCTCCTTTACTCTAAAGCCATTACTTTTAAAACTGGATGAGAGGGGAAATATAAAATGTACCTTCAACGTAACATAGATAAATGTCCTCCAAAATGCACGCGTTGTGTAACAGTTTTGATGATTTGTCGATAATATGACCTTTGCAATTCACGCCATGGCTGTCTGAATCAGTGATTTTGCATGCGAAAAGTGTCTGGTTGAGTGATGACATCACAGATGATTCCCGATATCTTTGCGCTGCTTGCTGGGGATTTTTCACCGAGTCCCTTCGAGCACAGAAATTTACGTGTAAAATATTGGTAATATGTGAGACCTCGCTCTTGCGGACAACACACATACTACATGTCGTGGTGGTGGAACAGTCTGCTGCAATATATTGAAGTTACTTGATTCGTAAGTGCCCGCGTTTCGGGAGCAGAGTGTCAAAGTTTGTTTGCAAGGTTTGAGACGATACTTCGTTAAGTGGTCTAAACTGAACCACTTACCCGCAACATAAACCTTGTTCTTGTGATATTCCAACAGTGTCATTAAAGCTGAAGTGTTTTGTCATGGTCTTATACTGGTATAGGACGATTAACGCTGCTGTAGCGGCCCGGAAAACCACCTCGTATAAATGTAAATGTAAGTTGGTTTCTCCAGAGACTTACTGTTAATAATGTGTGTTGCGCTCCTAAGTGGATGATAAACTTGCTGATTTACCACATTTATTTATCGGTCATAAAATGATCGTTTGGACAATCGATATTTTCTAGTGATCGAATTTTTTAAGACTTCACTTGGTGTCATCAATGTCTCATGACTTAGATCATCTGTCACGTTGGTGTTGCAGAGTGTAGAAAGTTAAAAATTATGAGCATGGTATTGTTACTTTTTTTACAAGGCCCAAACCAAATTTATGAAAAGCCTCTCAACACCTTTCGAGTTATTAAATGCATACAGTTACTGCAGTAACAATATTAGGTTATGTATGGTCAAAATATGCCCAGAATATCATGGCTAATGGCGTGATTATAATCCAACCTCATGGTGGTATTACCAGTGTAAGAAGACGTGTTTGGAGTAGTCACCTTTGCCATAATGTTGGTGCCAAATTTAATTAATTTCTAATTTTTTTCATTCTGTAGTTATTTAAATGAAAGAATGTTTTATAATTTTCTTCCAGGTGATGATCTACCTGATAGAGGGAGTTTTACCAGAAAGTTACTTTGCAAATAATCTACGTGGATTGTCTGTTGACATGGCTGTGTTCAGGGACCTCTTGAGACTAAGACTGCCAACATTGTCCCGACATCTGGAGCAACTCCAGCATGACACCAGGGACAGTGCTACTGGTAAACTATTGAAGTTATGAATATATATAATAGAGTATTTGTTAGTTAGTGCTGACTTGGGAAACATGTCGCAGAAAGGGGTAGCGACACAATTGCACTTTTGCCCTGAGGAAGTGAGAACCACAAAGTTCCTCTTTTGGGATAGCCATCGCAGTTCGGATTCTAGCTGGATTTAAAACAAGGACATCTTGTATATAAATCATGAGTTTTAACGACTTCACAGTGATGAGATTTGAGGTTGTCATTGTGAATAGTTTGAAAATGGCAATGCAGTGTTGCATCATCCTTAGATTGTTCTTGTTTGAGGCTGTAAGCTCCTTAGAAATGTTGGTCAATATCGGCCATCTCGGAAGACAGCGATTTTTATTTTGCCGCGATGTTTCCTAAATGATAATTGAAATGTTTAATAGTGGTAGCACTTGTAGTGTTACTGGTGATAATTAAGCGTCGTTTCAGGGACAAGTTACGAGCCACCGCTGACCAACGTTTTCACAATGCAGTGGTTCCTTACGCTGTTTTCAAATTGCTTGCCACAACCGACGGTGCTGCGTGTATGGGATCTCATTTTTCTTGAGGGCAATGAGGTTCTGCTGAGGACAGCACTGGCAATTTGGGACGGGCTAGCAGAGTAAGTCACTTCTCTGTCCTGCTCATCTTTAATTAGGGCTTCGCGATTTAAAAATGTTTTTATACATTTTCCTCCTCCCGATGCCCCATTCGTCTTATTCCCTTTGTTTGATCATCCTACTAATATTTGTTGAAGAGTAAAAAATTATGGAATTTCCCCTAATGCAACTGATAAGATATATTAATTATTGTACAGTAGGCTTCCAATTATCAGGGATGGTTGAGAAATATATTTTCCTGGATAATCAAAACCTCAGACAATTCACAAAAATTGAAGACGTGCAAATGTAACAAATACACAAGTTCATTTACAGATAATACGCTACTTAAATTTTCAAAAATGTAACAGAATGGATTTAATATAAAATTTAATACCATACATACAGTTACTGTAATGAAAAATTATTGTAACTTTGTTAAAGAACTAACATATACAGGATTAAGATGGAAAGTAATAATGTTTCCTTTGTTATAAACTTTAGGTTTTAGCAACATTTATTTTTTGTTACTAAATTAAATAATGTGTTGTTTTTGTATTCGTTACTTTCTTTTTAAATGTTAAAAATTTACTACAGATTTTATAAATTAATTTTCATTTTAATTTAAACCATATAGACCCCGATTAATTCGCAGTCCAGTTAATCTTCCCTCAGATAATCAGGAGTTTACTGTATTCTCTTAATGAATAATGCGAGATGATGAAAGACAGTATGTGGTATTTGTCTAAAGGGTCTGAGAACAATTTCAGGCAGAATATCTGCACTCTAGACCAAGATTTTAACCTAACCTAACCTGCATAAACTTGTAGCATGAGGACATTGTATATCTTTAATGCCACTAAAACATTATTTCCCAGGGAAATTGAATTTGGTTTCATTTTGCAGTCGCATCATGGCTGTAGACAGCGCTGATGAGTTTTATAGCATCATGGGCGTTCTGACTCGAGAGATGCTTGAGTTTGGACTCATGGATACAAATAAATTAATCAAGGTATAAAAAAAACTTCACTGAGATATTTAAAATGTTGAAAATCTATAATTTCACTACTTGGACAAGTGAACATTAAGAGGCATAAAAATGAAGTTGTCCCTCGAGCCTATTAAAGCCCCGTGACATTGATATTTATCGAGTAAATCTTGAGACATACAAGATTGTGTGTTGTCACAAAGCAGAAAACTGTAATCGACACGTTCATGTCATAAACTCATATATATTTAATAAGAGACACATTTTAGAAACTGTATAATTCATCCATTATCTCTTGACTTTTGTATCTTGCAGACAATAGTGACCATCGCACCATTCCCTTTCCCCGAGCTTCCAGAACTGAGGGATAAATATTTGTACAATATCACACCCTGGACTCACACTGTGTCCACAGCAGCACGTCGAGGACTCAGGCTGTTCTACTCGGATGACGACGATGACGGTACAGACGAGGATGATGAGAAAATAGCTGTTGCCGCAGCCTATGGTGTATCCGCAGTCTTCAGGTCACCACGAAGAAAAGGTGTGTTCGTAAAAGTTTGAATTATCTAAAATTTGTACAATAAATCACAATCCTTTAACCTTTATCAATTGTGTGACCCAGATGGCCATCTGTTGCACTAGCATATTGCTAAATCACTGACCACAGAATGAAGACCATAAACCATTCCCTAGTCCCATATGATCTTCTTCTTTTTCTTAGCATTTGTCCCTCTTTGGCGGGGTCTGCTTTTTACTCTCTTTTTGGAGGTTGACATTCGGTAGGACTCCTTGGACGAGTAATCAGCCCGTCGCAAGGCCTCTACCTGTACACAGGACAACACAACACAGAAAGACGCGACAGACATCCATGGCTTGAGTGGGATTCGAACCCACGGTCCCAGCGACCAAGCAGCACGCGGCCACTGTGACCGGCCCCTAGTCCCATATGATAAAGGTTGTTATTTCACTCTAATTATTTAAAATAATTGAATTCCAGATTCCTTGACTCGAGCTTCGTCACCGTCGTCTCCCTTGTCGACCTTAAATTACGGCACTGCACCTGAAAGGGACCGGCTAGCACTGGATATATCGGCACTGAAACAACAATATGCCAAGTTACGTGAGCGACAGCGCCAAGCCCACATCATTCTGACTGGTAAATACTGTATTGATTTTACTTAATTATGACAGTTGAATTGAATCTAAGACGTTATCTTTATAATTGTAAATTAATTTATTTTTGGCTTATCAGCAGTATAGTGATAGGAATACAGAAAGAAGACAGGTCATGAGCTGTAAAGATATCCCCGTGTCATCTCACACAGTCGCGTTCCTTCCCTTCTTTGCCACATTACTCATCTGTCACTGATTTCATGGAATATCTTTTATTTATTTACTATTTTCACATATATTTCTCAAAATATTGAAATATATTTTTTGTTACTTTAGCAGCTTGTGCGCGACAGCCGTTGGGACCATCAGTTCCCACTCCAGTAGCCATGAACCATCTGCTTTTGGGGAAGAGTGCCCTACTTAGTGTGAGGGGTAGAAGGGGTGGTCCACCCCCTGGAGCAGTGCCACCCCCAGCGAGTATCACCTTGAAATCTGCTCCTAAGCAGCAAAGGGGTCGTCAGCAACAACGCATCACCCCTCAAGGTACACGCCACAGCTTCTCCTATTTCGTATAGAAAACACGTGTAGAAAAACTTCTTAAGAGACTGCTTCATATTTTTAGTCTGTGAAATTTGAGATTAACAATGTTTGTCTTCTGAGTTGTGATGCCACGAGTACTCGTAGCTAGATACCAGCATTGCAGAGAAAAATACCGTCTTCAGCCCTGAAGATGGAGACAGTATCCACTTGCGCAGTCCAACGGTCACGGATTTCAGTTCTCAGACAGTCGAAGAAATTTCCATATCACCATTAAGTAGGATATCAAGTTTTTACAGCAGTCAGTATGAATATGGCTGCCTTGTGGGATGCAATACTGTAGTCTGTTTGAAGTTTACCAACGTTCAGAGGTCCTTGCAGCCTCCGTCATCAGGGCCGTCTGAAATACTGATAAAATTCTTGCGCACTTTCTGTTTGTCTTTACTGATGGCTCAAGGCTTAAATGATACCAGACCTCTGGTATTTCTTGGGTATTTGGTATACACAATAAGTAGTGTAGTAAAGACGATAATGGTCTGATAGACAGTGTGCTAAAATGAAGGATGTACTATCAATATTTCTCCAGCAAATGGTAATTTGGATGTGTAAAAACACAGGGTTAAAGAGTCCTTAATCTCGTATCATATTCACATATTTTTTATGACAGTTTTTTTGGACAGTGAAACAGATTTTTCGTCAGCCATAGTTTTTTAGTTTGTAACTTTGTTATTTTGCATACAAAATTTTGGTTGGAAAACCAGAAAGAAAGATACCTGTTAGAAGATCTAGGCGAAGATGGGGAAATAATATTAAAATATATCTTAAGGAAATAGGGTGCATCAGGCTAAGGTCAGTGACTGGTGACTGGATTTTTTATGTACATTAATGATCCTTTGAATTCCACAAAAGGTTAGGAATGTCTTGAGCTGAGCTACTTGGAGTCAGTCAGCTAGTTAGTTGGCTAAGGCTGTTGCTGTTGTGATAAGTTCATTGTAGATGCTATTCAACTTAGGAGTATGTACTTTTCAACCAGAACACTACCAGAACCAGCAGTTTAAGTGACCGACATTAGCTAACTAACTAGATGGCTTAGGGAACCCGAAGGTTGATCACCGAATTAACCAAAGCCCTCCACCGGTCCCTGTCCTGGGCCAACAAAATCCAGTCTCCTTCAACTCCTATCTCCCATAGATCCCGCCTGACATTATCCTCCCATCTACGTCTAGGTCTCCCCAGCGGTCTCTTCCCCTCAGGCTTCCCGACTAATACCTGGTGCACACCTCTTGTACCATCCATGCATGCTACATGCCCAGCCCATCTCATTCTTCTCGACTTAATCACCCTGACAATACTGGGGGAGGAGTACAGATTTTTAAGCTCGTCATTATGCAGTTTACTCCATGCCCCATCGTCTTCTCTCCTATGCCCAAATACTGACCGACATTCCTAAATTTAAGCCAAGTGTAGATTTTCAAGTACGCTGTGTTGTCAAGTTTAAGTTTTACCTAGGGTAAAACATGAAATTTTCTTCACAAAGTAGTTGCGATACGTCCGAAAGCAATACAGTTCGTCTAAAATGATGTTACGACATATAAAATTTATCAACAGGACAACTGATCACGGCATCAAATGTCGAAGTGGTTTCACCGCAGATTCAGCAGCAGCAAGAAGAAAAGTCGGGCGGAGAAACACTGCATTGGAAAGACACCGGGCAAAGGAGGCAGCGCAGAGGATCGCAGCTAGATGCGACAGTTGTGCAAAGTGTCGTTTCAGTCGACGCTGAAGAAATCCAAGGTAACAGCAATGAATTAACCAACAAGTCTACGTCTTGGGATACAGAAAAGTGTTTTGTGTGTGTGTTAATTTATGAACATTATAGTACAGGATCTTTGTTGAGAAACTGATAGTTGCTGATCCTGTGAAGATTTTTGTTTTTAACGAACTCTTACGTTCACAAAATCTTTCCATTCGATTCTGTTCTGAGCCAGATGAATATATTCTTCACGTTCACGCCCGTTCTCTCAAGAGCCATTTCAATATTATACTCCCATCTACAACTAGGTCCTTGAGATAACCTGCCCAAACTTTCGTATTTATTTATAATTTCCTCATGTTTTTTTACGTGTCCCACTTAGGTCGCCTTTTTTGATATAGGAAGAGTACAAATTATGTAACTCTTCATTGTGATATTTTTCCTGTTGTTGTATTACGTCCTCTTCCTTGATTTTAAATAATCTCCTCAGCATTTTCTTCTCCAAAATCCTGTACATAGGCTCATTCTATAAACAGTAGCTTAATTGGGCCAAAGTTTTCTAGTCCCGATGTGTCCCAATTAACCGGAATCCACCGTACCTGATTTCTGACTCTCCTTTGAAGTTCTTGATGGTATATGACTGTTTTTTTGGCAGGGATCAGACAGGAGGCTATAGTGAGGGGAGCAGTACCAGTAATCATACAACCAGAGTTAGGGACAGATGTGACTGGGAAAGAGCTCGATGCTGATAGTGATGACAGCAAAAGTAGCACATCAACTGAATTGTGTGATGAACCAGACCGGCTGAGTGACTTCGATTCTGAGGAGCCTACAAGTGTCAGTGACACATCATCGCACGTTGTTTCTACCGCTGAGGCCAGTGTTACAAAATTGCCGTTCCTTCCTCCAGCAGATAGATCAGGTCTTCCTACTCCAGAATCACCTCTTAGAAACGGCGTTTCGCCACTGACGCCCGTAAAGAACACAATTGTGCCACCGAAGTCAGGAGAATCTTTTGTGTCTGACACTAAACCTACAATAATATTACCGTCTAAAGAAACAGAAATATTAACAACAGTCATTTCTCCAACATCTGCAACAGATGACCTTATATCTTCATCAGCGCTGAAGGAGAATTTTGAATTGACTTCTCAAAGAGAAACATCTTTACCGGCTGCGAACGTTTCTGCCTCGAAGCTGTCACCTTTGAAGGAAATATCAGTCTGTGCGACTACACCAGAAATTTATTTCAGCGTTGTAGATAATGATGTTAAACCGTTAATTTCCGAAGATAATGAAACAATGAATTTGAATGAGATTATCACAGTTTCCGAGCATGACCACTCGAAGCAGTCATTATCAGACAAGCCTGAGTCTTCGGTAGGAAATAATATTTCTCGTACTGGTATCTTAGACGAGTCTTCAGTTTCATCTGAACAATTTTCATCTTTCCATACATCTGAATTAAAAATGCAGGCAAGTGAAGAAGGTAATAATGATGAAATTATTCCGAGAGAAGAAAAAGACATTCATTATGGTTCTGAGACAAAAAAATATGTTGAAATTAATGAGGTAGAATCTGACACACATTTTATAAAACATCCTGATGCGTACCCATCTGGTTCAGTATTAATGGAAGTAGAAGGCAAAACTGAAGAAAGAATAGCAGATAACATTTCTGCAGACCTCACATCTGCTAAAATTACCGATTCTTCCATGTCGAAAGGCACGTTTAAATTAGGAATTACTCAGAAGGACCATTGGGGTACTGTTGATTCATTAGAAAGCCCCGTTACAGGAACACGACAATATATTCACGGCACTTCGCCTTTATCTCCGCAGTCTGGTGATTTCTTTTTATCAACACCCGCCAAGATGCTTCATGATACGAGAGAAAGTGATGATGAAACTGAGGAAGAATTAAAGACAGAAATTAAAATTTGTAGGATATGTACAGAGCGATCGATACCAGAGATTGATACATCTTGCGTGGTATTCGGTGACGTTGCAGAGTGTGATACCGCTGGTACCGAAGCATTGCAGGATTTGGGGAGTTTTGAGAATACAAGTGTAAATGTGAGCGATGGTGAAAATATTTCAAAGTTACTTGAATTGAACCAGAGACTTCAGGGCAGGGAACAAGCAGTAACAGTAGAAGACATTGCAGATAGTGATGTAAGCGAGATAGACTACGCAGAAATGAGTAATCTGTTAGATATCGAACATAATATTAGTCTTGGGCGTAGGAATAGCGAGCGCGCGCTGAAGATAATCCAGGAGAACTCAGAAATTCTCCACAGAATTCTACAATGCCAGACAAGACGTCCGAGTAAGGTATCAGAAGAGGATACTAGTGGCGGTACCACGACCATTCCGTCAGAAACCGATTCCATCCCCACATCTTCCAGCGCAGAAAATGTCGACATTGCATCAAACGAACTCCTACGATCTGTAACTGATGTGCCAAAAACTGGTTCAATTGACAGTTTTCTAGCAGTTGCGAATCCAGAACATGGCATTTCTGTTAAATTACCAAGTTTAGTGTCGTTAAATTCACCAAATTCTATCCATTCCATTTTGAGAAGTGATAAAGCCGTTGAAGTCTTCCCACGAGATCCACAAATAGAAGGTGGGATGTCCATGGAATCCCAGGGCTGTCAGCAAGAGAAGGAAGAAGATGGTACAGTTATAACTGCAGAGTGTTTTGATACTCGCGACTCTTCGGTTCCTTTTATGACTGAGGAATTTCTGAAGGCATATAATTTCTCGAAACCAAAACAAAATAACATCGTGTCATCGCCTAGATCAGCTGTAAGATTCTCCATGTCTTCAGAAGCTCCAAGCAAGGAACATTCCGCGTTCTCAATAGATTCAAGAAGCGTTAAACCGAAGACAGAGCTTGTTGATGTTACACAAGTGCCCCTTCCTTCGGATGAACAATTTTTGTCACAATCCGAAGACAGAACTGCTTCAGAGTTAACTAGATTTTCTGACGAAGATTCTGGGTCTTCTATAAGTTCTGAAACTGTTAAACAAAAGACAGAATTTTCGTATCTTCCAAAATTGTCAATTTCTACGGATGAAAAATTTCTGTTACAATCTGAAGACAGATATTATCCCGAATTAACTGGGTCCTCTGACCATTCTTCATACCCATTTGATGATAATGTTCATCACGCGGAAAGGACGATACACAGACCTACAGAACTGGAGTTGGATAGAGTACATTCTCCATCGACAACTCAGTCTAGTTGGGAAAGGTTTTCATCAGTGGACAGTGTTTTTCCTAAATTTCCTAAAAACTATTTACCTGAACGTAAAACTCAGATTTCCTACTGCTCATATAGTTCAAAATGTGAAAAGGAGAGTTTACAGCTTTTGGATCCTACTGTAATACCAGTAACTGACGTGAAAGCGTTAACACCTATAAAATGTACTGACGATGGTGGCGGCAGCGACGGCGACATCAAAACAGTTGAACATCTCGCGGTTGATAAGACGTCTAGTGACTTTGATACTGTTACAAGTTTTTCAAAGTTTTCCTTAGATTCATCACCAGATTTGTGTCATTCTGTTGAGAAATGTAAACTGAAAGACGATTCTTCGCCAATAAGATCCACCATTGATAGTCGTGATTTATGTGCTGGCAGTAACTATACCACTAAGACGTCAGATTTTAGCACTTCAAAGCCATACATAAGCATTTCGAGGTATGAATATTCTCCTACAAGGACAAAATCATGGAACATAGAGAAAGAATGTAACACAGACCACGTTGAACATGATAACTTTAAACACAGAGAAACCCCATCATCAATGAATACTAAAGATTCAGCGTCCCATTCTTCTGATAACATTGTTTTCAAATCTTCGTCTGCCAAAAGTGAAATAACACCTGCAGATTATTTACAGACGTCTCCATCTTTTAAGAGCAGACTCGTAGAAGACTTTCAATACCACGTCCGTCCTGATTCAGCTTCATCCTCTGACTTCAGCAGTGGGATCCAGGATGTAGTTCATAGAACCACCACAAGAAATCATGGCAGGCCTCATTCAACGATAATTTCAGACGTCACCTCCACAGAGATTTTGAATCGATCCTATTCTTCAAGTTCCATTGATGGCTGCATTATGAGAATCGGGCAAGATCTGTCTTCTCCATCAGCTTCGTCTCGTAACGAGCGGTCTGTGCCTTCCTTTAAATCTGTAGGTGATGTATCATCTTCCGTAGCCGTCAATAGAACCCAAAACAGTGTGTATAATCCAATGTATGAAATCAACAGTTCTATAAAAGTTCCAGATACTGTTCAGTACACGCGTTCTGCCAAATCACCGTCGGAGTTGAGATTTACGACTAAGGATCTCTCACCCCGAAGTTGGGATAAAGATGATCCATCATCGTCTGTGAAGTCAGAATGTATAAAGGAGAATTCCAACTATCAAACTCTTTCCAGTTCCTCGTCAAAAATTAAAGTAGAAAAATCTTATTCTCCTACAGTTTCGCCAGCGAAGTGTAAAGATATTCATGTTTCTTTGCCCCCCATCAAGTCGTCAGTTCTTGGTAGCCCTACAAAATTAAAATCAAACTTTGATCCGTTTCCCCCAAGACCCGCATTGAGGCAACCCAAAGAACTGGGCATAAAGTTGGGGCTTTATTCAACAGATTGTGTAAATAAGAATGGGAAGGCAGCTAGTAAGAACACATGAGAAGAAACATGTAAGTAAATATTTCTATATATAAGAAATACATGTGCATCTCGTAAACATTATTACAACGCAATTCTAAATAACATAAAGATAAATTTTTCAATTCATCGTTATTACAAAAGTAACATGTATTATAGAGAATTATTATAATAAAGTATTATGACTTTAACAGAAAAGTATCAGCGTTTTAATTAAATGTTTTTTGTTATTTTACATCAATGCAACATCGATATAGGTGTAAAATCTTACGATAGAAGTACGCACTAGCACAAATCAAAAAATTTAGGAAACGGTTCAAAAAGCGCACAAGACTAAAAAAATTTGAAAAACTCCGCATTCAAATTTTTTTCGAAGATTTCGTAAATTCTTGGTTTTGTGCGATTTTCAGAGAATTTGCAGCATTTTTTGATTTTTCGAACGTTTTCAAATTTTTATGTATTCGCGCTTTTCATGACGATTTTTATATTTTTCAAAATTGTCAAAATTTTCGAAAAATCAAAAGATGTAGAAAAATGTCCAAAAATGGCAGAAAACTAAAGAAATTTGAAGAATATCAACTTATACATTTATACCGAATTTTTCGAAAACTTGGTTTTGTGCGCTTTTCACACAATTTACAGCATTTTTTGATTTTTCGAAAAATTTCAAGAAATGTTTTCTACATCTGAACCATCCCTATCAGAACTAGTCTCTGCCGGACTTGGTCTCTGTCAATATGTACTTCACAGTCTCAGCTGGACACGGTGACTGCTTTACACGGTGTGATTCTCTGTCTCTGCATGCTTCACCCGCTTCGTGCCGCAATCGGTCTCTAACGGACGCGCTGTCTGCCACACAGCCCCTACAATATCCGGTCTCTCATGAGACAGACACCGAGGGCATCGGTGACCGAGTCTTGCAAAGAGAGTGTGGGAAAATCCTCTATTGACACAGTTTGGAAACTTTCTGATCGCAACTCGTATGTGTCTGCAAGACACGGCTTCTATCCCACCTGTTTTCTGCCTACCACTGTGTGTGCAAAAACCGGCAAGTCGAAAATCACGAAGAGACCCAAGTCCTGAAAAGTTCCAAGTGAGAAGTCACTTGTCCCAAGTCTTGAGAAGTCGCATGTCTCAAGTCTTGAGAAGTCGCATGTCCCAAGTCGTTAGAAGTCACATGTCCCAAGCCTTGAGAAGTCGCATGTCCCAAGTCTTGAGAAATAGCATGTCCCAAGTCTTCAGAAGTCCCTTGTCTCAAGCCTTGAGAAGTGCGAGTCCCAAGTCTTCAGAAGTAACTTGTCCCAAGTCCTGAGAAGTCACCTGTCCCAAGTCGCGAGAAGACAATTGTCCCAAGAGTTGAGAATTGCGTGTCCCAAGTCTTGAGAAGTCACTTGTCCCAAAACTTCAGAAGTCACTTGTCCCATGTCTTGAGAAGTCACTTGTCCCAAGTATTGAGAAGTGCGTGTACCAACTCTTGAGAAGTCATTTGCCACAAGTCTTGCGAAGTCACTTGTCCCAAGACTTGATAAGTCACTTGTCCCAAGTCTTCAGAAGTCACTTGTCCCAAGTCTTGAGGAGTCACTTGTCCCAAGTCTTGAGGAGTCACTTGTCCCAAGTCTTGAGGAGTCACTTGTCCCAAGTCTTGAGGAGTCACTTGTCCCAAGTCTTGAGGAGTCACTTGTCCCAAGTCTTGAGGAGTCACTTGTCCCAAGTCTTGAGGAGTCACTTGTCCCAAGTCTTGAGGAGTCACTTGTCCCAAGTCTTGAGGAGTCACTTGTCCCAAGTCTTGAGGAGTCACTTGTCCCAAGTCTTGAGGAGTCACTTGTCCCAAGTCTTGAGGAGTCACTTGTCCCAAGTCTTGAGAAGTGCGTGTCCCAAGGCTTGAGAAATCACTTGTCCCAACTCTTGAGTACTCACTTGACCCAAGTTTTGAGAAGTCACTTGCCCCAAGTTTTGAGAAGTCAATTGCCCCAAGTATTGAGAATTCACCTGTCTCAAGTCTTGAGAAACCACTTGTAACAAGTCTTGAGAAGTGCGTGTCCCAAAGTTTGAGAAGTCACTTGTCCCAAATCTTGAGAAGCCACTTGTCCCAAGTCTTGAGAAGACACTTGTCCCAAGTCTTGAGAAGTACGTGTCCCAAATCGAGAAGTCAATTACCCAAGTCTTTAGAATACACTGGTCCCAAGACTTAAGAAGTCACTTGTCCGAAGTCTTGAGAAGTCACTTGTCCCAAGTCTTGAGAAGTCACTTGTCCCAAATCTAGAGAATTCACTTGTCCCAAGTCTTGAGAAGTGCGTCTCCCAAGTCTTCAGAAGTCAATTGTCCCAAGTCTTCAGAAGTCACTTGTCCCAAGTCTTGTGAAGTCACTTGTCCTAAGTCTTGAGTAGTCTCTTGTCCCAAGTCTTGAGAAGTCACATGTCCCAAGTCTAGATAAATCATGTGCCCCAAGTCTTGAGAAGTGCGTTTCCCAAGACTTGAGAAGTCACTTGTCCATTTCATGAGAAGTCACTTGTCCTATGACTTGAGAAGTCACTTGTCCCAAGACTTGAGAAGTCACATATTCCAATTCTTGCGAAATAACTTGTCCCAAGTCTTGAGAAGTGCGTGTCCCAAGTCTTGAGAAGTCACTTGTCCCAAGACTTGAGAAGTCACTTGTCCATTTCATGAGAAGTCACTTGTCCTATGACTTGAGAAGTCACTTGTCCCAAGACTTGAGAAGTCACTTGTCCATTTCATGAGAAGTCACTTGTCCTATGACTTGAGAAGTCACTTGTCCCAAGACTTGAGAAGTCACTTGTCCATTTCATGAGAAGTCACTTGTCCTATGACTTGAGAAGTCACTTGTCCCAAGACTTGAGAAGTCACTTGTCCATTTCATGAGAAGTCACTTGTCCTATGACTTGAGAAGTCACTTGTCCCAAGACTTGAGAAGTCACTTGTCCATTTCATGAGAAGTCACTTGTCCTATGACTTGAGAAGTCACTTGTCCCAAGACTTGAGAAGTCACTTGTCCATTTCATGAGAAGTCACTTGTCCTATGACTTGAGAAGTCACTTGTCCCAAGACTTGAGAAGTCACTTGTCCATTTCATGAGAAGTCACTTGTCCTATGACTTGAGAAGTCACTTGTCCCAAGACTTGAGAAGTCACTTGTCCATTTCATGAGAAGTCACTTGTCCTATGACTTGAGAAGTCACTTGTCCCAAGACTTGAGAAGTCACTTGTCCATTTCATGAGAAGTCACTTGTCCTATGACTTGAGAAGTCACTTGTCCCAAGACTTGAGAAGTCACTTGTCCATTTCATGAGAAGTCACTTGTCCTATGACTTGAGAAGTCACTTGTCCCAAGACTTGAGAAGTCACTTGTCCATTTCATGAGAAGTCACTTGTCCTATGACTTGAGAAGTCACTTGTCCCAAGACTTGAGAAGTCACTTGTCCATTTCATGAGAAGTCACTTGTCCTATGACTTGAGAAGTCACTTGTCCCAAGACTTGAGAAGTCACTTGTCCATTTCATGAGAAGTCACTTGTCCTATGACTTGAGAAGTCACTTGTCCCAAGACTTGAGAAGTCACTTGTCCATTTCATGAGAAGTCACTTGTCCTATGACTTGAGAAGTCACTTGTCCCAAGACTTGAGAAGTCACTTGTCCATTTCATGAGAAGTCACTTGTCCTATGACTTGAGAAGTCACTTGTCCCAAGACTTGAGAAGTCACTTGTCCATTTCATGAGAAGTCACTTGTCCTATGACTTGAGAAGTCACTTGTCCCAAGACTTGAGAAGTCACTTGTCCATTTCATGAGAAGTCACTTGTCCTATGACTTGAGAAGTCACTTGTCCCAAGACTTGAGAAGTCACTTGTCCATTTCATGAGAAGTCACTTGTCCTATGACTTGAGAAGTCACTTGTCCCAAGACTTGAGAAGTCACTTGTCCATTTCATGAGAAGTCACTTGTCCTATGACTTGAGAAGTCACTTGTCCCAAGACTTGAGAAGTCACTTGTCCATTTCATGAGAAGTCACTTGTCCTATGACTTGAGAAGTCACTTGTCCCAAGACTTGAGAAGTCACTTGTCCATTTCATGAGAAGTCACTTGTCCTATGACTTGAGAAGTCACTTGTCCCAAGACTTGAGAAGTCACTTGTCCCAAGTCTTGAGAAGTGCGTGTCCCAAGTCTTGAGAAGTCACTTGCCGAAGTCTAGAGAATTCATTTGTCCCAAGTCTTGAGAAGTCAATTGTCCCAAGTCTTGAGAAGTCACTTGTCCC